AACGTGTAACGATAATGAGATCTACTTGCGAAGATGCACCAATTTTTATCGTTATCGATGCCTCTTTAATGGGCAGGCTTTAATTATTATACTCGACGTTTATTTTCGGGAAAATTTCGCTATTCCGTGAATACAGTCTCGTACATTTCAAACGATTTTTAAAGGTCTTTTTGGAAAATTTTCTCGCTCTTTATTGGAAAAAGTTAATTGTTACAACGTACAAACAGACGAAAAAAACTATTAAGAAACGCATCAATTACGCAATATCTAAAAACAAGTATTGTCTGCCTGTAAGCTTTAATTTGGTAAAAATTAAGGAAAGGAACGATCGTGAAATTATCAAGACATTGTATTTTCATAATCTTATTTATTTTAATATAGTTATATATACACACTGAAAAAATTGGTTGAATTACGCATTACCTGAAATAATAACAAATTATTTGAAATATGAACAATCCTGGTAATATGTCCAATATGAATAATCTTGATTAAAATAAGACAAATTTAGTCGCATATATTTTAATTACGGTAACCAGACATATTTGGTTGCATAAATTCTGGTAAAAATAACAGGACTTTTAGTTGAAATAGATTATTTAATGATTTATTATGATAAACAGAAATCTGTTAATTCTACTAATACTTTTTTAAGTATAATTTCGATATTATTTCGAATTTGGATATTATTACTACACACGCACTAATCATATTCTAACCGGTATTATACTTCAAACCGTACACCTCCCTTGACCACCTACTAATGGTATACAGCTTAGGTGCAAATTGGGATTTGACATTTTTAATTGCAAGTTTCTCTTGAGGATTAAAACAGAAATTTTTTTTGAACTACTCTATAATTTTCACAAAAATCTAATGATATCATTCAAATTTAATGAAAAAGCATATCTGGGGATAAGACGTGGCAACTGTTCATACGAAACTGCCAGCAAATTGAAAATTTTCGTAGTGCGAATTCGCACTAGTGTAAATTCGCATAAAATAGATTTAAAGGTTAAATTTAAATGTTCAGATTGCGTATTAAAATATTTAATTATAATAACTCGAAATTCTATTTACTTTTATCAAAATTCACTGAATCAAATACTTGTGTATTGTTAATTCAACCATGACTTTCTCCGTGCCCTATTTAATTTCTCGAATTAAAAATTATAAACAATTATATTTTTCATAAAATCTTCTAAAAAAGACAGTTTTTTTTTTAAATTTGTTAAAGAATGTGCCGTTGCATTGTAACATGATTGAATTTTCCCTTGTTCGTTTAAGTAAGAATATTTTGCCGCGATCCGGTTTGATTAAAGAATTCCATTTTTCACTCTGTATAATTCGCACCATGGGTGGACATTGCGATCCAGAGAACACTGCTCTGTCGACTTATTTAAGAAAGAAGTGCTGCAGTCTCGTTCTAGTCCAAGTTCTGTCCGCGCCATTGGTACACGAAAAGTCTTTGTTCCAATTGATGTATGCGTATATCACAGATACAGTACGATTGCATACATCTTTTCTCCTCGGAATTCCACTAATTACGGAAGCGTTGTGTAAAGCTCGCGGCGCGTGTTTCACATTCTTTCGAGCCGCTTCCACGTTGCGTATATTCCCTTTTAGAGTCAGAATTCCATTCATTATTACAGCAATTTTTTCATTTCCCATGTTTCCTGAAAGATGTGCGCACGCAGTAACACGAAAATTGAGAATTAATTAATCAAAGAATACACTCTCTCTGCATTCGCTACTTTTGCGATGTCGACATTCACGCACTCATTAGCGAGTTTTAAAAATCAGTTTGCGCATTACCACAAATTACATCTCTTGCGTGATTTTTCTTTCTCCGAATGATTTAATCATTAAAACGTAATTTTTTTAAACACGAGAGAGAGAGAGAGAGAGGGGGGGATGTTGAGAGAGAGAGGGTTTGTGAGAGAGAGACAAAAGTTGTGACGTGAGAGTCGAAAAAAGTATCATCACTTTGGTTTTGCGAGAACAAACACGTAGGTTTCTGCAAAGCAGTTTCGAATGCAAGAGTTTTACAAAAGTTGTAAAGATCACGAATTTGTTTATGCATTGTACTTCGCGTGCCACGGTCAAAGGAAGCGTAATCTCAAAAGCACGGAGCAGAAAATACAACTTGCAAGAAATGCATCCTCATACGCAGTTTTATATTGCGGCGCGACGTTCCGCGATATTGTGGTCGTTTTGTTTTTTTTTTTCTATTCTTCCGACGATGCGTTTCTCTATTTTTCAATTTTGCGAATTTATCGTCGCGTTAGCGACGAAATATAAACTTCTCATTCGGTGCGCGGGTCGCGTGCAATATTGAATATTCGGGGGCTAAAACGCAACTCGCATTAGCGTGTTTCCCTTCCATCCCTCCATCCGCTCCCGTGTCCCGCTCGAAAATTTTTCATTTCTCCTCGCGGTCATGCTTTTACGAGCTTTTTACGTATTTACTCAGCGGATGCGCCCTTTTGACGATCTCAAGCGTCAGAAAATAACTCCGCGCGGGAAATCACTTATTGGTATTAAATAGCTATTCAGAATTATTCGGTCGTGATATCGGGTGTAAACTTAGCACCTCATTTTTTAATTGTTGTTTTAACCTGGGAATAATCACATCATTTTTTTGCGTAAACGATCAGCTGAGTTTTTACATCTCAAGATCACTATTGTTTATAATTATATTGTATGTTATTAATTGTTTTCTGATTTATTAGTATTTGAGAACATTGTGGATTTAATCATGATTTTCGGAAAAAAAAGTAAGTAGAAACTAAATAAGATATTGAAAGAAATACACACGTTAAGCTTCTTATGATATTATTTGTACAAAATAAGAAGTTTAGTTAATATAATTTTTTTATTACGGCTTTTCGATGGCATTGCATATTTAAAGGTTCATAAAGAATAATTATTAAGAAAGTAAAAAAGCATGTTAAAGAATATCCATACAATATTTCACAATTCACATTTTTTTACCGCTGGGGTATAAAAATACCCCAGGTGACTATTTCCGAGTTAATAGTGGTAATCGCTGGAACTTTTTAAAAACATTAAAGAACTTCTATACTCTTCAAAGGAAACTAGAACTCTAATCAAAACTCTGGAGAACTGAAGTTGAGGTGCTAACTTTACATGCTCAAATCAATACCATTTGTCAGACTAGTCTAATGAGTCATTAATAGACGAGAGATTGAAACAATGATGAAATTTATATTAACAACAAGGAATGATTTACAATCGATCGAGTTGAAAAGCCGATAGATTAAAAAATCATTAATCCCCCGGTGCTCCGATCTGGCTACGGCTAGGCCGCGGGAGAACCAACCGTACACAGTTGACCGTTGCGAACGCAACGGTTATACCGGGGCAAATATTTGCATTCGCGGTATTAATGTGATCATCGGCATTGTCGACCAAATATATGACAATGACGGCCGGTGGTTTGACGTGAGCCGTGCGCGATTATTAGCCCGCGGCTCGACACCGTATACGCCTGTAAATATTGCGTGATACTGCTCCCGTCGCCGTGGTTGCCGCCGCTCGCCAAAGAGGCTTTTGAAAATTCATGCGAGCGTTACCCCGGGCCTTTGAATATATCGCCGATATTTATGCAGAACGCCATTCCGCGACCGCGCCTGTTGTGTCGCAAATCAATTTTTTTAGAACTCCCGTCCAGTTATCGTAATTACGAGCTGTTTTACCGGGGATTCCGGTAGCTGCTTTTACCGAGGATAATTGCCGCATTATAAGTCTGATAATCCACATACCCGTTTTGTAGCTCGTTGCCCCGAAATAAATCGCTTTGTCGTAATATCCACACCAATTATTTTGTAATTTCGTCGCTGCGAAATACCGCCGGTTTGCCAAACTCATAATTTTCATCGGTCACATCCTGCCCGAGCTTGTGTACAACTATACGATTATGACAATTGTAGTCTCGGACGTTAATTATGAAGCTCAATCGGGGTAATTTTTCGCGAAACGCCAGCGTGTCTCATCGCCTTAAATTTCGTTATCATTGTGAACGAAAATGTAATTATAATTTTACAGGTTAATTCATCCTTGTAATTATATTTTCTATGCCGATTAAATTATCTAACAAGGAAACACAATTAAGTGTCCTCCTATTTTAATAACTTATAGACGAAACTAAGGAGAGACACATATTTTTTATAAATTTCTGGACATTGAGTTAGCAAAATTCTTCTTTGAAAAAAGTTAATTTCTTTTTCTTTCTAAGTGAACGAACGTTTTTAATAAAAAAATTTTTTTAATTAATAAAAATTAAAAATTAGTTTTCATTATTACAAAGTACTCTTGAAATTCAACTTTTATTTAAAATATTGTTTTTATATCTGATGGTTTATTGGTTTAAATTTATAATGTCAAAATATATCCAAGAATTTGAATTATTTTTAATCATTTCTATGGGTCACTGCTCTTACTCAACATATAGTTAATTTAATTGAAACAATTAAATTAAACATGCAAGAAAATTATTAAATTTGACTCAAATTTAGTTTATTATTTATCAAGTGCAGTTAACATAGCCGTTATTTACTTTGAAACTAATTACAGAAATGAATTAATTTATATTTTAACATACATAGAAGTTAAAAATAATAAAATATCATTTAACTCAGGAGATTGGATTATCATTGTTCCTGTAATATTCAGTGTTAGATGATATTTACTCAGGAAGAAAAAACCGAGTTTTTTCAAGGGAAAATTTCACCTCCCTTAGCGATCTAAGAAAGCACTTATAAAAAAAAATCATGTCTTTTATTTCTCTCTCTCTCTCTCTATATATATATATATATATATATTAAAATCGAAAGAAGATACTTTGTTATTTTCTTTTATAAGAAATAAAAGTCATGAGATTTTTTTCCTTATAGATCAAAGTCAATTGAGATAAGATTCCTTATAGATTATAAATCAATTGATTTTTTTTCAGCCAAGGCTTATATTGTATGTTACAGATCTTCACGCGCTATGGCAAGGTCCTGAAGATTGTCACCTTCACAAAGAACAGTAAGTACCGTGTTTAATATGTGTATCGTCATTGTGTCGCGACCTAGAATCGATGTGCCAAAGGGAGAATGAGCGGAGCCGCGGCACTCTCACAAGCGCTGCACAGATTCCGCTCTCGTTGGTAGACAGGCCACTCGGCACTTTAGTACTTCAGTGTGCTTCAAGTGCGTCCTGGCCTGTCAGCGTCGTTGCGCGCACTTGACGCCGTTAGTAGTTTCGCAATCGCGCCGAGTGCCCCAAAGGGTGTCTTCCTAAAAGTCATCTCGAAGCGAGATCGTTGCGAATGTTACGAAATCGAAACGAACGATGCATGAAAATTTAATGGCAACAAAATGTTTATTATGTAAGGATCCATGTCTCAAAACATTACTAAAAATATAAAAATTTCATTGTTTTATTCTATTAATACATTTATATCTATATAAAGTTTGAACAGAATTATCTTATTGGTTTCAAAGTCATTTATCTTTTTAAGTCATTTCATTTTTTTATTTTGATTCTTATTTAAAATACAATATAAGCGTTTTGTAGTATTTATTATAAAGTTTTGACGAGGAACTAGCATTTATAAATTAAATCAATTTTTTTTTTATAAATACTAATAAAACTGTAAGAAATATTCGCGGTCAAAAATTTATTTTTAATCTTTATTAACTCGTTTAAAAGTTATTTTTATTTAAAATTGCAGCAAAATAGTCATTGCGATGCACAGGCCAAATTATTTGTTGTTTTCTTTTCGCAATTAGTTAAGGCTATTTATGACCAAAATTTTTTTATACTTTTGGCTGATACTGTAAAACACCCTTAAATCGCGAATTGTGAATAACTTACGAATAATACAAGCTTTTCTAACGCGGTGTAACAAAAGAGAAAGTACCTGAAGACACATTTGAAATCTCGATGAACCGGTGTCTTAAAATTTTCTCTGTTCTAATTTAAATTGTTAGCAGGGAGTTGGATATCGCGCGCAATCTCTTGGTACACTCGTTACATAAAAGGTACAAGGAGAACCCTCGCTACGTAGCCGGCGAGCGTGTTACTAATTCATGTTTGCAGTAGATGAGCGCGAGAGAACATCATTATTCCGCATGCGCGTGTGCGTCGGTGTACGATTGTGCACAGGTGCGTCGGTGTTTGCTGCGTCGCAACAAGCAATGCGCGAGTCGTGATGTCGAGCTTCCGCGTGATTGCACATATACACACGCTTCGGGGGTCCTTCTAGAATTCAGCAGAGATCACCAGCAGGTCTCGACTGTGAAACGCCGCAGTCTGTATTTTGCCATCTTTGGCCATAAGTATAAAGCATTCCCACAATGAAAAGAGTCTGGTTGCATTAATTGGAATTCTAGTTGAAAAGAAACATCAGAATTTTTTGATTGAATTTATTATAATTCTAGTTAACCGGAATTTTGATTGATATATAATCAGAATCTTCTAATTCGTTTATTTTCAACTAGAAATTTTTCTCACAAAGTGTGAAATGTCAATCTCTTTTTTGGAGTTCCATCTACCTGGTATTACATACACTCCAAAAAAGGCATTGAGATTTCACTCCTTCGGAGTGAATCTCATTCCAAAAGAGTAAATCTCACTTTAAAATAGTTTAAAAATAGTGAAAATCTGCCACTCTTGAAAAAGAGTGGCCATATTTTCACTTTTTTTTCAAGACAGGCTAAATTTTCAGTCTCTTCGAGTGAGATTTCATTCCACGAGATTTAGAGAGTAAGCTAAGGTTAAATAAGGGATTGCGTAGTCTTGACGAAAGATCTTAGAAATGCGTTTTGCGTCGCGAAAAACTCGCGTATAACGCGAGGACTTTGCGTTAATGCAATTGCATATAATTTTGCGCGTTATCGAACTATATGGGAGGACGTCACTCACGAACAGCGAAGGAAATCTCAGATGATATTTCAATTACCTTCTAAATAACGCAAAACGAATTACTCCGACAGTAAATAGCACAAAAGCAAAATCGTACAAAAGTAAATTATCTCGCTTTACCACATTATTCTGGCTTACGAGTCGAACCTTGGAATTTTCAAATGAAAGATTGCAATAAAAAACTTTTCAATGAAAATTTCTACGTTCGGTTACTGAAGCACGAGGCTGCGAGCAAAGTAAACGTTATCATCGCGATTACCGCGTTACCACGGCCATTCCGTCTGGGGGAAAGAGAATTACGATTGTCATGAAATGAAAAGCGGGGCGCGCGTCATACTTCTTTTTCTAATGCTCGTAACATCGGGGCTCTTCACCGCCAGGGGGAAGACAGCTCTCTTTTTCGCTTCCGCAATTCAGATACAAAAATTAAATAACATTGCCGCGGGCCGATCCTTTGTTTCGTATCATACGCGCTCGTAATGAAATATCACAAGTGGGGCGCGCACAGCATAGTCGGAGTTGTGCGAATTTGACGTGTACGTATGCGAGATTAAAACTCGCGAAATTGCAATTGCCGGAGTTGCCTTGCGACGTTTCATTTAATTGAGATTTAATGACAATTATAAACCTGACCGCCGCACATGCACGTGTACGACTCGATGCGAAAAGCGGCGGTGTTCTGTATTAATTTCGCAAAACGTCCGGCCTGCTTGGCGATTTTAACATTTGTCTTCTTCCATAATTGTTTACCTTCGCGAATCCGTATCCGCGATTGTAGAGCACATGTAAAGGCGTCTCGTCACATTAGTGTTTATCTGCATAATCGCTCACTTTACACTGCAAAAAAAAATATATAAAATTACTTAATATGTATAAAAATTACATAATGTATAGTGGAAGTATATGTGTACATAAAATTATATGTTTTTATAAAAATTAATACTTTCATCTCTATCTAATTATGTAAATAATATTTTTATATTAGACGGAAAATTGCAATAACAATATGTTTTATAATTTTTCTATCAAAATGTACAAATTTTTATAACATTATGTAACGTAATGTGATTGTATTACACTTATATTTGCGTTCACGGTAATATTACTTTTACATTTGTACATATAACTTATACAAATGTATAATTCGTTGTTGAATTATTACGTAAATATTTTTACAAATTTAACTTCGATTGTAAATTTACTTTTGCAAATTATTTAATTACTTTAAAAGAAAAATAATTTTATTTGTAAGTTGTAATTTTATTTACGTGTGTAAATGTTCGAATGTTAACAGTGAGCCCCAAAATTATCTACTATAATTATTGTAATTTTACCTGAATTTTTTTACAGTATAATAAAACGAACACGATAAATTAAACGTCTGTAACTGAATATCAATTAAGGAGTTGTTACTTTTTTTAATAGATACATCAATCAATCATCTCGCCAAATCTACTTTAATTGGTAATTTTCAGAAAAAACTTTGACGTAAGCTAAATCGGTAAACTTGTTAATTTTACAACATTTATGAATATTTTGCTCCAACGTACAATTGCACCCATATATATACTGCGGCAAATTTAATCAAACATTTCTCTTAATTCGTATAAAATCCTACATACGGAATAATTCTGGATTCAGGAAAATAAAAGATTTCTATCAACGTGAAATCGTGTGCGTGTGCGTGCACGCGCGTACGCACGCGCACGCGAACATGTTTGGGCTTTAGCGTATTATTGTAAAGAGTTCCATTATCACGGTGGAGCAAATTTGAAAATGAAATAGCGTAGCCGCCGGCTGGAACTTTGGTCAACGCTGCTAACGAAACAATTCCGGCTTTCCGGCCGCACGGGAAAAACGTATTATCATGACAAAGTTAGTTTCTCGCAGCGGTCGTGCACTAAATTAACAAATCACCGCTTTTTGTACCCAGGATCCAGTCGGTACTTCAAATACCGCACGTATTTAACGCAAAAAAATACATACCATTTTCTGCTCCGAATCAAATTTTCAAGAGTTTACATATTTTGTATTTAGAGTTACATTCTCAATGGCGTTTTGCGCGCCTTGTGCTTCCAACATATTCCACAGAATATCTCGTAATTTTCATTTTTTAGTTTTTACGTATTTATTTTATACCTTGAAAGTTTGCTATTACGAGAGAAAGGCTCCACTTTTACGGAGTCGTTATTTACGTAACGCAAATCATGCAAAATTTCGCGATACGCCATTAGGGAGCAGAATAAGAAAATAATCAAATTTTGTGTTTTCATCTCTTAAAATGTATTATTAATTACATTATTGTTATATAACAATTGTTATTACACTGAAAAAACGGTTTTGTGTATGTATTGAAGTATAGTATTATATAAAAATTTAGCTATAGATAAAAAAATGGTATTTAAACCATCAAAATAATTATATAGGACCAATATAACTGTTGAATATGATAGAATGTTAAAACTTTTGCATCATTGTCAGCAACACTTAAGGATGTATTCGGTGTATAATTCTTGCAGAAATTACTGAAATTGGAAATTTATATTTTCTGTATGAAAATGAATGTTATATACACAGAAAATAGTTTAATAAGATCAATATTTAATATATAATATCTTTAGTAGTATAATTTTATAGTTTAAATAAAAATGTTATTTTTTCATAATTTTTTAATTTTATTTTAAAATATATGTAATACATCCTTAAGTGTTTTACACAATTATTTTGATGGTCTAGCAAAATTATTTATGGATTTGTTTAGCTAAATTTTTAGATATTTCAACGCAAAAAAATCGTTCTTTCCTTGTTACTGATCTATTTTCCCGCTCAATGCCGCTCTCATGGTTTATCATTCGCGATGAATTTATCGGCCTCCGCGACTATCCATTCTTTTGCGATCTCGAGTGCGGCTTGTGCGGGAAACTCGTAAAATTCACGAACGAACGACGTAGTCTTACGGTTTTTATCGCTTCTGTGTTCCAGGCTCCTTCCAGGCACTAATACAGTACGCGGACATGCTGTCGGCGCAGACCGCTAAATTCGTAAGTATCCACTTGACTTCGCTTCTACTCTAGCCGCCTGTGCGTCCTTCCTTCATTCATTTCATCCTTCCGCCATCGGTGCGCTCGTTGTCTTCCTCTTTTTTCTTCGTTCTTGTCTTTTCTTTTTTTCTTTTTTTTTGCCCCTCTTTAGTTACTTTTTTCTTCGTCTCCGCCGTTATGGCGGTGCTTATCCGTTAAGCTCCCACGGGACAGATCGAAATTTTCTGCGGAATATCTCGCGTTGGGAAAATATTTTCCGAGATCCGCTCATCTCGACGAAAGCTACGGTGTGGGGCTTAATTGCCGGAAGTAAGCCCGATGAATGTAATCGAAAGATTGATGGCGGAAGAAGGAATCCTATCGAGGGTGGAGGGGAAGGAACGAGAAGATCGCGCGGTTATGCCCGATACACGGTATTTTCCCGGATTTATGGAAATATCGGCTGCTTTGCAAACCAAATTAATTCTTGAAGCTCACAGATGCGTGATCGATCGTGTTGTTCTCGCTCTGTTCCTTGCACTGTTCGCGCGAATATCAATGATGTAAACTTCAGTTATAGCATTGTATTTCTTCGTAAAAAAAAAGGAATATATTAGACTTCAACTTTATAATAATCGCCGCGCAATCGTTTAACTCGCAAGATTTAAAGTTCCATATTCCGATGATAACTACTTCTATTTTTCTTTTCTTTTAAGGAGGTTGAGAAAGCTGTAGCATTAAACTTGCCGCTGCTTAAGGTACTACGAGTTGTGTCTCTGCCGTAAATTTTGTTTTACCTGTAATTCCCTACGTAATCGTTTCGTCCCTGTAATCACGAGTTAAAGTACCCCATGTATCCTGACGATAACTATCTTTCTCTCCTTGAGGAAGTTGAGAGACTTGCAGCATTAAAGCGGGCACTGCTTGAAAACAAAAAATGGAGAATGTGCGTGTAGTTTCTGTTCCGAGACTTTGTCTATTATGAATATTACGACTAATTTCCGCTATATGAATCCGTCTATATCACACAGTTTCCTAACAACGCACGTTGTACCTTAATGTAGAACACCTTCGCAAAACTAGTTTCACTCTGAACAATTTAGGAAATGAAGAGAATTTCGTAAACTCTCTTTCTCAAGAAAAAGGAACCTCGAATTAACTCTTTCAGACTCCTGACCGTAACTGTGTACGTCAAGTTTGGCTTTCTTTCTGTTGATCTAAACAATTTTTCTTTCCCCCTCGTTTTTGGAATCTATTGTACATATTGTGATTTTATTATTTGTATACTCGGCTTCTCCCAGCTGTCTTATGAGTGTTTGAGATACTCGATAACTTTTGTGAAGTGATGTGACGCAACCCACTTCGCCGGTGTAAATACCGAAATGTGTGTACTAATTTTCTCTGTTATTCCATCGCTATCATTTAAAGTCCGCCACTTATGTCCATTTCTACCAATGTAGATTAACTTTAATCTCGGTTTCACTTACTTTTTAACTTTTTCTAATTCTCAGAACTAGAAAAAGATACAAAGTAGATAAGTTAAACCAAACCAAGATTAAAATTACTCTAATTGATAGAAATGAACATTATTCAATTGGAATTATTCAATAGGACTGATACAGAATACGCCAAGATCTCCATCTTTATTTCAAGATTCGTTTAAAATAGAACGGAAATGACATATCTAAAAGACGTTTTATATAATGATAGGAAAGGACGAGCGGATTCAAAAGGATTAGCGAAGTGCGACTGCAACCATTTCATGACACTCGTACTTGGAAATTACATTAGGAATTAACTATGTCGGCGTATTAGCGTGCGGGATGTGTTACCGCGTTGTTTTACACCGGTAACGACAAGCCATCGCGAACGGAAGCTCGCCAGAAACTTCCGTCCTTTCCCACCCCCGCACTTCGTTCGAATCCGCTACCCCCGTTCGAAAGCCCCTCTAGCCCTCTTTGTGCCTCACCCCGCGCCATAAGCTCGACGCCGCAAACTAGTAAACCTGTGCGATGATCAAAGGGAAAATTAATTCGCTTGAAATATACCGATTCCACCACGAACCAACCCACTAGCGCGCAAGACAGAAAATTAATTTAGCTTTGTTGCGGATATCGCTCTTCTCCAATTCTCCTTTCCTTTTTCTCGCTCGTTCTACTCGCCTTTCTTCTCTTTCTTCTTTTTTTCCTCGACACGTGTGCAAAAGCACGAAACGGCAACCATACGTCGCTTCGACTACCAGCCAGATTCTTGTCGAATTTTTCACGCAAACGCGTCTGTTCAAATTATATATGTAATACGTATCTCAAAGATCGAGATTCACATTTCAACTCAGAATCAGTTTAAATTGGAAATCTTTTTTTTTTTAATTGCTGATCTTTCGAAAAGGAAGCACGTCGTTCCATATTTATAAAATCGATTCTCTCGTTTCGATTATGCATACACAGAGAAAGATGCATACTGTATTCAAATATTAATTACTTGTTTTAAATATTTCAAAAGTTCATATATCCGCAAATTTATTATAAGTTTATCGCAAGCATCAAATTTATTCAAAATATATTCTGAACTCTATAATAAGTTTATATAATACTTTAATCAAGATTATTAAATTAAAAACAAATTCGATTTGCTTATTTTATAAAGTTGTTTTTTTCAATAAAGTTTTATGACATTCTTTAAAAGAAAGCTAATTCTTGTTTCGAGCATATGATAATAAACTTTTCTCTAAAATTTTTAAGTATACATATATATTTTTAAACTATTACTAAAAGATTAAGATAATTCTTTATTAAAGATATCTCAAAAGATTTACTTAAAAGATAAAAATAAACTCAGTAATCACTTTTCTTAACAGCGGAATGATTTTGATATGTAACCTGACTTTTCGAGTATTTTACACTACCGCGTAAAAAATAATTACTCGACAATCGAGATTTAAGAATACATTTCGGAATCTTTTCTAGTTTAAATTGGAACGGTCTTTTTTTTAAATTGCGGATCTCTTTCGAAAAGCAAAGAAAAACATGTTTCGTATTTGCAAAATTGATTCGTCTCGTTCTCGATTATGCATTATCGGTGTTCTCTCGGCTATGAATAAACCGCCCGAGGAGCAGAGTGAGAAAGAGAGAAACCGACCGCCACGCCGTGCGCGCACGCCTGAGGCTCGCGGCGCGGGCCGACCTGCTAATTATGTACGAAATTCATTAGCCCATGTAAATATGGAGCGGTCGGGTGAATATACGCCCGCGTGATACCCCGGGGGATACGCGGACGCGCGCGGCCTCGTCGCGCGCAATGCGCACCGTGCGCATTGCTCAAACAAGCGACCTGGATCCCGATTGTGTCCGTATTAAGCGCACGAAACATTCATGCATGATATATTACAACGTACATTGCATACGTCTCAGAAACACTTGGATTAATATTGCGGAGGATGTTGATTAGCGGAAACCTCGGATCTAATCCGAGAAATCAGACTCATACACGGAAAGAACGCTCTTACTGACCGAAGTATCTGAAAATTTAGATTATACGTTCAGTTTTCATTGCAAAATTACAAACTGATTATATAGTTCAAACTGATTGCTAGAATTGTTTTGCAGCATTGCTTCAATTTTCTGCACTGAAAGAAATGATGGTCGAATAAAATTATTTTTAGATCTGTATTTAATTGAATTTTTTAATATTTTAACAAAATCGTTCTTTTTATGTATTTCTCGTGAATCTTGTCGCAAGAATCGGTTTTCCGGATTTCTTTAAATTTTTTCAGCGTTCACACCTCTTCTTGATCTCTCAAAAACTTTTTCGCTTATAAAGCTAACTTCTCTTTTGGTCTTGATTTGTGTAATGTGTGTTTCACGAGATTTCTTTATCTTTGAAACTAATAGAAAAATTTTGCTGCGATAGTATGATGCAATAGAACCATCATTTTCTAAAAAATTTAATATTTTTAAATCTAAATTTTATTGTGTAATTGATATTCTATTATACTTTATAAAAATGACATATAATAGATAATTATAAATATTTCAATTTTATTGAAGTTTTAAATATATTCAGCTAACGGAAAGTTATTTATAAAGCGACTGGATTTTTAAAAGATATAGAAGAATTGACTGATGTTTGAGTCGCTATTGGTTCTGTATTCTGCCACCGTGTGTTCTGAGCTTAAACATGCCCCTATCTCGATCTTCTCAATTCACAAACAATTCTACAACTTCTTGTGCAGTCGCTCGACGGGCAGAATGTCTACAACTCTTGCTGCACGCTGCGCATCGACTATAGCAAAATGCAAAATCTGAACGTTAAGTACAATAACGACAAGTCCCGGGATTACACCAACCCGAATCTTCCGACCGGCGACGCCAGTTTGGATGCGGCATCGCTCGCTCTTGGCGGCGAATTGCTGCTCATGGGTGCCGGTTCCCAACCGCGTGCCAGAATACCCGGTAAGTATTGTAAAATTCATACCTGAAATTTTCAATTTCAATCACGTTTACCTTACCAAATGAATCGCTTTTAATTATTTATGCATAAGTAAGCGTCCCATACAGACCGTGACAATACTTGAGCCAAAAACATATAAAGAAATATAAGACAATAAGACTTAAGTAGTAAGCGAATCGGCTAATCAGAATGAAGAACGTAAAGTAGTTTTCTATTGTGATTGGTCGATTAATCTTATAAAAGATATGTCTTTATTTTTGTTTAAAAAACAACATAAAAACTCATCAAAAGTGGAGAGGGACATTTCCATGAGTTATCGTGTGAGTTTATTTGAGATGGAAATTCTATAAATATCAAAATGTTGAGTCATCTACAATAGTTTTTAAACAATAATAATTATAATACTGTATAATTAAAAAACTGTATCTTCGAGTTTCACTATTAGGATTTCTCTCTTCAAATTATCTCAAGAATTTACCCTTAATTGTTGTTACGATCTTTATGAAATAGAGCGAACAAAAAAATGCACGAGCTGAATTTTTCATTATATTTTATAATATTTTCTAGTAGAAACATTAATACTATTTTTACATTTATTATTCAGCAATGCGCAACCTACGCGTACTAAGAAAATTTAATTATGAAAGATAAAGAAATTATTACAATAACTCGTTTTCTTTAATTCGTATATTTTCCTAATTTTTTTGTCTATACAGAAACATGAATTAATAAAAAAAGCAATAAAAAGTTAATTTGATTATAGCATTATACATCTATTCTGCATACTATCAATGATTTTATCCCCATCAATGCACAAAATTACCAACTTTGAAAATATTGCTGGGTATGCTTAATTTTATATCATAAAAATTGTTTAATAAAATATTTAATAAAATATAATTATATAATTATATTATATAATATCAATTTTATATAATATTAGTTTTATATAATTAGATAATTTATCTAAAAATCTATTATGCTGTTCACAATGTAAATACTAATTATGTGGACAAAATAGAGTCGCCCATTTTTTGTTCGTTACTGTATATGTATATATTCGTATATGTATACACATAATATATATACATATGTCCAATTTATGTACACATGTATAATGCATATGTACATTATACAATGTGGAACAGACCACGTGTGATATGTGATTGATAAACGCGTTAATCGTGGACAATTTTGTGCAGTAATGCTCAAAATAATTCAATATAGTTATATAGTTTGTATTCAAAATTGCTTTGCAAAATTCATCGTTATTAAACGCTAGCGAAATTCGACCGAAGCAACTCTGAATATTCCACGAAACGTATAAGCAATGAATTACATTACTCTTACGTGATTTCGTGTAATAATAACCTGATAATAGTTGAATATGTATTCAGTAGCTCGTGACAAGCGAGCTTTACGGGATTTATCGCCGTTATAACGTCTATTCCGAATGAATTCGAGACGTTTTTGTATTTTTATTTAGCTAACGTAAAAGCTCGTCGCGGAGCTTTGTGAAAGGTACAATTGAAAGGTTGATCGGCCAATTAACGACGTTACGTTTATCGGAATTAATTACGTTAGTAGTAATACCGATTTTACGTCACTCGGACGTCGGGCTGAATTATTATTATCTCACGATGGTATAGAAGCAATTTGCTGGCGTTTCAAACTACATTTTGTCCGCTATGTGCACCAGTCGGACGTTATTATTTCCTCGGGTAAATTAATTAATTAGTACAAAGTACTGGGCGGACGATCCGGCTCGCCGAATCGTCTGGATTTTTGCGTTTGTATCGCGGCGACAACGGCTAGTTTAAATTACACGCCCGGCGCTTGTTTGGGTTAAATTAATTTCACGGCGTTGTTGTTGGTATTTAATCTGTAGCGATGTAATCCACTTTTGCGTCCTATCTCGTTGCGCAAACAGTCCGTTGATGATTGAGGATTGAGGCGATCTCGTGACGGTCGGTCGATCTCCACGACGAAGAAGCGCTATTAATTACACGTCGAGGAGATCGTTGAAATATCGACAGAAACGACCGTTCGATGAATCGCGCGACATCGTAATTAGAATCGCGGCATTTTACGCTCGGATTTTACAAGGAATTTTACGATCCCAGAAATCCTGAAGACAGGATCGCGCTCGGTCTTCGTCCATCGCGACTTCTTTCTTTTCTTTCTAATTTTTTTAATCGCAATATCGACAATGATAATAATTTTGTCTGAACTTCCTGAAGTAGAGTCCATTGCAGGGGCACCGGGTGTGCTGCCCACGCCCTTTGCCATGCACGGTCTCGCTTCGCCCTTGGCCGGCCCTTACAACGGCGTACCTCCAGCCGGCGGACTTGCCGGTCTCGGCGGATTCCCTCTTGGCGCGGCTGGTCTAGGTGTCCGGGTCCAAGGAAGCGCGCAAGCATCGGCCGTTCTGCTCGTCAGCAATCTCAACGAGGAGGTAAGTATTTCGAGACCTCAAGTTCTATCCTGACCCCGTTCTTCTCGATATGTTGTTCTCCAAGAACGAGAAGCCGTATAATACTCTGGCGTGGTATACACGAAGAAAATCCGAGAAATTTTGAAAAAGTTGGAAAGTTTATACCTTTATTCATGACTGCAATTAAAGATCTTTCGGCAAATTATCGTAATTATCTAGAGATAATCGTTTTCTACATCCCGAAATTTTCTTCGTGTATCACCTTCCTATCAATCAGAATTGCATTGAATGCAGAGGAGATGGAGGATTCCGTTTCCACTGAGCGTCGTAACGTGTTCGTTCAACTCTTTGTTTCGATTTGTCAAGATAATTCTGTGTTATAAAAATCTACGCTTTATTCATGTAAAATTTCGAAATTGTCGGGACTAATCGCGTCTTGGCTCGGACGGGCTCTCTTCAATTGGAAGAGAATCAGTTCCGACTAAGTGTACGAGATGGTGAATACAGCGTAGATTTCTAGACACAACAATGCACTGAGAGAAAAGTTTTTGGTATTTACGACTATAATTACATGGTCAAATAATTATGGTTAGTTTTATTTTTACTGTTATTACTGCTATAACGTTAGTAATAGTAACACCCTGTTACAAGGTTTCTGTTTTTTTAAAATCTAAATGGTGATTCCTATATATGTTTAGCCGCTGAAAAAGAACATAAAAAAAGTTCCAACATATGTATCCTGAGAAATCAAGCACTTTATTAAAAAAAAACTACTAAACTAAAATTTAAAACAGTTTGAACTTTTCCTTTTACTTTATAGAATAAAATACATAAAAATTATCATTTAGATGTAGAGAAACAGAAACCCTTGTAAATTAGTGCAATTCTTGATATTAAATATTGCCAATAAATTTTATTATTTTAATATATGACTTATAATTGTACATAGATAATAAAAGGAGCTTTATACCATCGTATTTATTTTTGTGTATTTTAAAGAACATTCGAATTTCTTATAGTTACATTACATTTATTACGAATTTGCATTATTATATAAAAAATTTAGACTGAAGTTTCTAAAAATTGAAGGGTGATGAAACTTTTTTGGAAAGGATATTCTTTTTTAAAGTAAAAAGTTCTATAAGAAACACTTATTACTTGTTGAAAAACAAACAGTTGATCAAAATTTGTTGTGTCAGTTATAATTTTATTATAAAAAAAATAATTAGTCTTAAAAATTATAAATTCTAGTTAAATTATGATAATTGTAGCCATTTTTTCTCAGTGTACATATGTATAACGAGACGAAATGTTAAACGATACACGCACACGACAACGGGGGTGCGCGAGTCGTTCTCGAGTAGATCTCGAGCAGCACTGAGAGAAGTAGGCCGCGTACGAATAAGTGTGTTGTATGCGAATAATATATCTGTTGTATGGCATCTGTCGTCTCTATGCAGTGTGTATGCGTGTATATGGGCGCGTGTATGTGTATTCAAGCCTCTGGTCCACCGTATCTTTATCGCGAGAACATTACCGTCTTGCCCGGTACGACACACGCACACATACGCGCAACCGCCTCTTCTTTATCTTCTCTGTACCGTCTCACTTTTCCCTCTCTATTCTCTTCTCGTTCCCACGTCTCGGGCTCTCGTACTCCCCCGTCACATACCCCTAAAAGACCGCACGCTATTTCTCTCAGTGTGCGACACGCGGGACCAACCAGCCCAGTCAACCCCCATCCGGTATATACGCACGTGCATACACGTATAATTACGGTCTAACGAGCGTGTTACAACGTAGTGCTACGTAGGCGAACCCCGCAATTTCTCGATTCTCCGGCTCGATCTTTCCACCAGGCTGAGCTTCGACTGATTTTGCCAACTGTGAACTTCAAGACAGGAGATTGTCTTCGCAAGCTCGACAATATACATACATTCAAAATCGATCGCTAATGTCTAGGAGAACTTGTAATCTGTACTTACGTTTGTTACCGACTGGAAAATTACCACAAACATTGCCAAATTGACAAATGCTTTTTGTAAATATATGTAGAACAAATTTAGAACAAAAATTTGAACAACAATAATGTTAAATTGTTTTAAAATTAAGAGGAAAAAAATGCTCGATTTTTTATCTTTTTTTATTTATTTGGGATAATGAAACGACTCTCCTAGATCCTCCAGTCGAGTAGGTGGAAAAATCGAGCCGCGATGCGTATGTGCCCTGTTTCGTCACGAAACCTTTGATTCTGTTCCCTACTTGCCCCGCTCATTTTCGAAACACATACAAATCACTCCAACGTGTCACCATCCTGCGCCCTAATTAATTCGTAGCGTCGTCGACTAAACGACGTTACTTCTTGCGAGGCGACATTTATCGCGATTTACTTTCTCATACTTTGGTTCACAATATTCCGTGAATATTATATTTTTAATATATGTTATTTAATACGTTTGAACAATTCTATGTCTTTGTTGCGGGCATTTATATATGCTATCAGCTCCTGCATACGAACTTAGATGTAGCGTTCGATGACAAAAACGACGAACATTATCGTGTAAGAAGCTTCAACGGGATGATGAATGTCGCCTCGGCAAGAAACGGTGTGTCGACGTCACACTTCGCAGCTGCAACTTGTCACTACTGTACTATAACTGTGTGTACTACTATCGTTGTGTCGCGCACAAGCCTCGCAGTCTGACGATTCTCGGCCGTCCTCGATTTTTGCAAAAAGAAAAAGGCCACGCGTTTCTATCGACATTTGTCGAAAAATCGATCATATGGATAATTGCATATATCTGTATACACGCTACAAGAAAATGTTTTTTTTTTCTTGTCCTAACAATTTTGGACGTAGCATTTTTTCTCCGTAGCTACGTGCGTGCTTTAACTTGAAAAACGCGAATCTTGTGCGCACATCAACACTATACATTTAAATCCTATTATACTCGCTGACTACTGACTGGACTCTGTCTGTTCTCTGTGTAGATGGTCACGCCTGACGCTCTCTTTACCCTGTTTGGTACGTCTCCACATTTATATTATTAATTATATTACATTATTAATTATTATATTTACACCCTCGCGCTCTCACACCTACGCAACACATTACACGAAATCCACGGACGCGCGACACGCGACACACATGTGCCGGAGACATTTCGTTGTACGCGTGAATTTAATCGAAATGGAAAAAAAGAAAAGAGATGGAAAATGGCAGACGAAGACATTCGTCCGAACATTTTGTTTTTTTTATTCGGTCACGTAGTCATTTTCTTCGCGATAGAGACGAACAAGACAAACGTGTTACACACACAAAACGGGACCCGCCAACGTAGAATCTCTCATACGATTGTCACGTCCGAGGTTTACGTTTCATACCGAAAAATAAAAAATGAAAAAAAAAAGATCTCTTCCTTCTTCCTCGGTTTTATTTTTATTTCACTTTATTTTTTTTTTATTTGTATGGTTTTTTCACTCTCTTTTTTTTCTTTTCGGCAACTCACAAAACTCAAGCATCGTCATTCTTTCCCTCTCGTCATGTTTTACTCTCCGTGAGACATCCGTCATAACATAACTCTGATTAACGTTTAATCCGTACTCTTTCGATATTTTCGTGATTTCAACTTATTTTATTACTACAAGCTACTCCATTCGCAAATTCATGTGATCACCCGTCATACCGTCATCACCATCGTCATGCCGCCATATCGGCACCGAACACGTTCTCTCACAGATCTCTATTTCCAAGCATCTCTTTATACAGATTATTTCATTAATATTTTATTAATATCAGTTCCACACAACCTTTAATATTACGTAAGCTTTCGCTTATTTTACGTAATTCCATAGGAAACTCACTATTAACGAGACGTAGCGACTCGGCTGCGGTCATGTTTCTCCTTTCCGTGAGCGATTGTTATGCAGATTTTCCCGGATAATTGCAGACGAACGTACAAAAGTCACGTACTGCGTTACAGAACGCGTTTTAAAAAATTATTAAAAATTTTCTGTCCGTCCCGTAGACATCCATTTTTCGACTTTTAGCCAGTGAAAATTTCATTCGCTTCGCTCGGCAGCTACGTAATATCGAAAAATGTAGAATTTAAATGAATTAAACTTCGTGGAAACACATATAATAAATTGTTGCTGTTTCGTTGATTTTTAATGCGTTTTATTTTAACAAAAATTTACTGGATTATGAAGATTAATAATTGCAAATTACTTATTTACAACTTCTAACTTTTCTAGTTTTGTTAACAAATTATTATTAAAAAGAAATGTTCCATAAAAATGATATGCACTCTGAAATATAAAAATATCAAAGGGACTATTAATACGAATAAATAAAGTTTTTTATTTTGTAAACCGAATAACTTTGTACTTTGAAAATAAAGCTTCTAGCCGAATCGCTCGCCTCTTGCATGTCCCGATTCTTAGATCCGATCGTACCCCGATTTCGATCGACCGAAATATTGTCCCGTTCATCTTCAATAACCCTCAAAGCAGCCTCTCTAAAAAGAATACGCGGTTTGTCGCCACCACCCGAGTTTACTAAACAGAAATTTGCGTATTGTGCATATAGGCGTTTACGGGGATGTACAGCGTGTGAAAATCCTCTACAACAAGAAAGACTCGGCACTAATACAGATGGCCGAACCTCATCAGGCGCTTTTAGGTGAGTGAACATTTTTTTAGCTGTGTGCAACGATAACTCGAAATTGCGTTTTTGTCTTGTAAATAATCCATTTGCTTAACCCTCGACTACGGCAGCGGGCCATTTAAATTCGAAGTGAAAATTTTTGAACGTTTGTACACTGAAAAAAATTTCTGGTTGAAAACGAAGATGATTCTGATTATATTAATATTAGAATCTGACTATCTCAACTAGAGTTATAATAGACTCAACTAAAAAATTCTGATTTGTCCATTTTTAACCAGAATTCTAATTAATGCAATCAGACTCTTTCCAGTGTACAATCTATACAATTAGTACTATGAAGTTCTAAATTGTCGGTAAAAAAATCTTTGAACTTTCGTCTGTAAATAACCGTAAAATCTTTGGCATACGATGCATTTTTTCTTATCAAATTGCTTGCATGTCAGTAAATTGGAAATTCTATGTGTGGTGCAATCCTCATAATTTACTAAAATGAAAGCAATCCAGCAGGAAAAGTGCCGTAGGCTTAAGACAGAGGTTTACAAAGCATTTTGTATTTGAAATAAGACGCTTAAAAATTTAGGTATAGTTTTCATAGCTGTAGTTGAGGGTCTTTATACTAAAAAAAAAAAATTATTTATATATATGGCCCACTTTTTTAATGTGGAAAATTACAAGACACAGTTTCTTATTCCACAGCTATATGATACCGTAATTATGTTAACATCCGAACATATCAATGGTTATTTAACATTGTTTAATCTATATAACAGCACTAACCCATATGGACAAGTTAAGAGTGTTTGGAAAGCAAATCAAAGTAATGCTCAGCAAACACCAAACGGTTCAATTGCCAAAAGAAGGTCAGCCAGACGCGGGCCTCACGAAAGATTACACCAACAGCACCCTTCATCGATTCAAAAAACCCGGCTCGAAAAACTATCAGAATATCTATCCGCCGAGCTCGACCCTGCATTTATCAAACATTCCGTGAGTAATACAACAATACATATTTCGCGCCGCATCTCTTGGTGGCTTAACGACATTCAATTTGCTCTTTCAGGGCTACGGTAGCGGAGGAAGAGATCAAGGATGCTTTCACCAAGAACGGCTTCACCGTGAAAGCTTTCAAGTTCTTCCCGAAGGACAGGAAGATGGCTCTCATACAAATGCCTAACATGGACGATGCCGTGGCTGCGCTGATCGTAAGTCATCATTGTTGTCATCAATAACCCAAGTTGAATTGTGATCTTCTGATGAAAAGCTTATGCCGGATCTTGACTTCCTCCTTAATTTTATTATAGCTGCAATTTTTATGAAAAGAAATTATAAATTTCTTACCCAACTTTCACTCTGGAGGAGCTCTGTTTTTAAAATTCATTTATATAATTTCATTATTATTATTTAAAATTTTTTCTATATCCCGCCTTTAACATAGAACGCAGTACCGTGATTTGTTTATCTCTTTAGGATTAAATTCATGTTTTTGGTACTTTGTTTCTATCACAAAATGGAATATTTTTCTTCAAATTTCTAGTATTATATTTATGGAGTTGCAATTTCGAGAATTAAAATCGGATATTTTGCTCAACAAATAAGTGCAATAGTACTAAGCTATTCAGCACTCCACTGATTATAATAAGTAACTTTCGTAAATAATTCATTATTTTTACAAGAAACGATAATCCTGATTTTCTGCAACTAAAAATAGAATTCCTCGGAGCATCGAGTTTATAAAAAATATACATATCTCTCTCTCTCTCTCTCGATTCTCCTTACAGCATGCCTCCGTATCTATCGCAAGTATTTTTAAAGAAAAAGAAAGTAGGACGAAAATGTTTCAACTTTACTTGAAATCTAATTTAAAGTCAAATCCGTAAAATGTAAATTTCGATTGTTTGACTATAAAACCGATTCGTTCTTCCTCTTTCACAGAAAATGCACAACTATCAGCTTAGCGAATCCAACCATCTCAGAGTGTCGTTCTCCAAGAGCAACATCTAACAAGAATCGCCACCGTACGAGCAGCAATGGTACCAGCCATACGCCCTAGTTCCCCTTTGGTCACCCGCTTCAGTCTACGACTGATGGTCACGTAGTTGGATCCACTCAGGTGCTCGTCCGTTCCTGCGAGAGTCGCTACGCTGTTGCTGGCCTGCACTGCGCGTGCAACCCATGCGAGACTGCGTCGTACTCGGACTTTGAAGCAGCACAAGCGGACAGGAGCTACCTCGTCCGAGCGAGCTTAGGATGTTTTCGAGGCCTTGCCCTTGTTGTTGGGACGTCTATATGGCACGCACCTATTTTCGCATCCGGTTGATTCTGACGATTTGAGGGGTGTTGCTAGGGTGTTTCGAGATGTACCAGGGCTGCAAGCGCTCAAATTAAACGATGAAGAGGCAAATTCGCGACGGCCTTCTCGAAGGTAGTTTCCGGTGCTGGCTTTCGAGCGTATTAACGCGACAGTTTCATAATTTTAGAAATATGTGAGGAATTTAGGAACAGACAAGAATCGTGAGAAAGGAAAGGAGAGAGAGAGAGAGAAAGAGAAAGAGAATAATTCTTATTATTATTCTTATGAAAGCCAGGACCGTCGCAGGAAGAGAGAAACACAAAGAGAGAAAGTGAGAAAGAGAGAGAGATATACAAAATAAAACAAAGAGCCTAGCAGCTGGGCATACATAGAGAAAGCATGTGTAAGAGAGGGAAGAGAGATTAGGATTAGACGGGAGCGAGGAAACAGCACAGTGGCGAACAGTCCTCGACTCTTGTACAGAGTTAACGCTAGGAAAGATAAGCTATATTATTATACATGTAAAATTCATGCTCGCGCGGCCCAAACCGCTACAGTGATTACGGTTAAGAATTTTTCAAAGTTACGTGGACACAAGGGCGACCATCTCGCGATAAGCGCGCGCGACGGCGTCCGTATATCACAGTTCGGAAATAGGTCTCCGTCGTTGACGTGCTCGTTCGACGAGCGGACTCGAGGAGAAAAGCCAAGTGGGAACAAATGGACCGCGAGGTATCTCACGACGATCGTCGTACGTTCACGCGTGACGCGACGGCCGACTACCGTGAACCAACAGCGTTTACCACGAGACAATCTTCATTCTTCTGACGACCAAACACACATGCGACCGAGCGTACTTCTTCGTGGCTTCCGTTCTGTTTCGAGGGCGAGATAATACGGTCGACGAGGCTGACCGATCGAGTACGACGGGAACAACGTGTTTTAATTGATCGGGTATCTAAGTAAGAAAATGGCCAATGTCACGGGACCTTTTGCATGCTTTCACGAGGTACTACTACTTCGCCGACGAACCGATCGCCCTCGTTGATTTTACGTCGCGAGATTGGCAGCGGCCGAAATTGAGAGGAGAGTTGAAAGCGGCGGAGCGCCGAATCGGTCTTCAAAATTCTTCCCGTATCCATTATTTATCGCGATTGGTTGGTCCGTTCGTAAGGCGGAAGCGAAGCAATTATCAAAGTCGTTCGTTGCGTGCTGAGAGCAATCCTAATTGGGGTATGCTACTCCGAACGTATCTGGCCCGCTCGACCTATGTTTTATGTTTCTTCGCGGGGCATGTTTCTCGTTCCCGAAGGTACCTGCAGTATTCTCGACTATCCGGCGAAGTCGAACGCTTCTTAGGGGAAGATCGAGCGGTGCCTGAATGTTCAATGACCGAGGCGAGTTCTCCGCTCCGCAGGCCCACGTGACGCGTTTACGCGCGTCATCGTACGGTCGTCGCAGATGGCATTTTTATAATTTGTACGTTTCAGTTTGGAGATAAGTATTATAACGCACCCGCACACGTATCCGCGTCTTTACGAGACCGTACAATTATACAGTTATACGTACACGGACACAAGCCACACATACAATCACGCATGCGCCGCGCGCGAAGATAAATATTTCGACCGCCCTCTGATTTACACACGCGCACATACACACACACACACACACACACACACACACACACACACACACACAAATACACACAGACGCATAGATACAACTGAATGCGCGCAGATTTCTTAGTTAGAATAGATGCTTAGGCATGTGTTAGGATCTTAATCGTATAGTAAGCGACTAGATAAGTAATTGACTAGGAGAGGAAGGAGTGAACCGTTGAACATATCGCTAATTAAAAAGTTTGCAACGTACGGGGCGCGCGCGGAAAGTTGGTGCCGGTCGTAGCGGATCAACGAGTGGCACTCAGGATACCTCGAGAATAGTTCGCATCTCGATGGACAATATTCGAAGAAGAGAGAGGTACTATCATGTCTCTGTGCCAACGATAGATCCATTGTTTGACGAGCTTTGATCCATCCTATCGAGAGAGTTCCTGATATCAAAGCATTCCTTCAGTAGTCGGCGATTGTGAGGGTTCCCCGTAAATACAAGCGAATATCTCGAGGAAGCATCACACATGTGCAGATTGGTATTCGAGAAGGCGAATCATCGTTCGATTAAACGAACCATTTGCAACGTTGAGTTTTCGTTGGACAAAGTGTTGAAGAGAAAAGCAAAGTAATATAGCAAGTAATAGCTAGAATCGTATTTACGGGGATTTAGTAGAACTATGCAAGATCGATTGGGGTGATTTTCGAGATATCTGAGGTGTCCTCGTCGAGAAGCGCGAGACGGAATTTAGATCGGGCGTCGCGACGTTGAGGACAATTGATCTTGTTTCTATTAAGAATGAGAATCCTGAAATCCTTAAACGTAACGTGCCGCGCGCGCGCCGGCGAAGCCCACGGGTTTCTGTCTAATCGACGTTCTGTTGGAGTCAATTAAATTTTACTGATATAACATAACTGATCGTAGAGAGAATTAGGAAAAGGATTAGTGTGCGTTGGAAGGAGACTGTTATGCAAAGGCGTAACTGAACGAGCGAGAGGAAGGGAGAGAAAGGGAGAGAGTAATTGCGCGAATGCGAGAGAAAGAGAGAAACGGAGCGAAAGAGTTGTATTCACGTCGAGTATAGTGTCGCGCGACTTTGACGGATATTAAACTATATAAAAGGGTAGAAAGAGGAGTTTCTCCAAGCCGAGAACCGCGCAGCGACCTACAAGGCAGGGGGAATGACGAAACTGTGAAAAAAAAATAAAATAAAGCGAATGCCGGCTCGGGCATGGTGTGCTGTTTGTGCCAAAGTAGGCTAGCCGATAAAACTCTAGAATGGGATCTCTTGGTGAGCAGTGCGAATGGGATATCCCTGTTCGATCGCGTGGACGCCGATCCCCGGGGGTTCTCCTCGTACGATCGTAAATGTTTCCGCCGGGACCCCCTTCGATCGACGATCTCGCCTTGATCGAGTACCGACCAATCAGCTAGTTATTTAAAGACGTAGCGAGTAGCCGGCATAAGCGAAGGGGCCAGTCTTTGCATCTATGATCTGTATTTTTCGGACCTCTGATACTACGTTATTTACTTGGACTGCATTTATACATTCTTAACCGGACACACGTTCCGGATTGCAACGTCTGTCAACACGAGAGATATTCACGACACTTACACACGCACATACGCAGACATACACACGCACACATATTACTTAAGCAATACACGAAAATACACCTCCGCAATCGCCCACGAATGTACATACAGATTCCAGCACGCGATCCAGCTTTTATTTGGCTGAATATGGTAGATCCTTCTCGTTTTAGGTGGCTCGCTTAATTCGCTGCGTATTGATCTAGGAATTCAAGAAGCGCTTCTCTTACACTACCTACTTTATCTGTCTCATTCGGGTCGTTTTTCGTGCGGCACCTTTAAAGCATCTTGTAGCAGCCCGCGCGCTGACGTTTACATGTTCGTATCTCCTCGATTCTTATCGCATATCGCGGAACATAGCGTGAGAGTGCCACAAAGAGGGAGGAAAGAAAAAGGGAGAGACTGTGCGGGAGAGCTTTCGTACAATCCTTACTTCCGGCACGAATATCGTCTAAGCGTACCTGAACAGCTCGCACAGAGAGTGTTACTCGATTTCCCGAGCTAATATATATATATATATTATATATTTCGATTTATACACACATATATACACAAACACGCGTGTATCCTTTTCGCGAATTGCCAACGTCGAGCACCCATCGTTGATCGTTCACGCCAGATCGCTAATTACATTTTGTAGCTTGCCGGTCGTTTCTTAGCACATTCCTGTTGACGCGTACAACATGCATCCGTATACACCAATCCACACGGAACACACGATACACGTGACGATCCACGTAAGCGCACGCACTCAGTGTTTTGTTCCTGTCTTCGTTTTTTTTCTCTCGTTTTTGAAATTTCTTATCAGAGCGACGTAAACCCGAACGTCACGTTTTTCTTTCATCATTCACACCACACTAATGGTGACAATCAGCTCTTCTGCTCGCAGAAGGAGGAATTCGGCGCAAGATTTCTCCAAAGCGTTATCGCCAAAAGTAACTCGTTTCGACGAGCGGCGCGAGCCGTTCTTTCCGATGAACTTATTATTAGTAGAAAAACGTCGTATCGGAAAACGGGGCAGCTATATACGGAACTATAGATATCTACAGGGTGCCCGACGTTAAATCGCACATCTATTCGGTTTACTCTGTCGCCGTTACGACACACATTAGATCGGCCTTCCTCCTTTCCGCTCGGACGGTCCTCGTGATGGATAAAAATGAAAAGAAGAAAAAAAAAGTGATGAGGAAGAGGAGGCACCCTGTAGACGGATAGATTGACTATATCACTAGCTGGGTTGAGGGGGGCCGAGGTGAGGGTTGGAGTAGCCAGCACTCGCTACATGGTGTCGTAGATTATTCAGACTCCGAAATTTTCCCAGACTCGTCGCGCGAGGAATCGGCCGATGGTAGTTCAACGGGGGTTCACTTTCATCCCTCTCGCGACGTAGACGTTTTCGCGTCCAACAGGATCTCCGGTAAAGAATGGTAGGGTGAACTGCGGGTGAACGATATCGCGCGAATCAACGGGAAACGCGACGGGAATCTTCGCGTGAAAGATAGACACGATGCATGGATAATAATCAAAGAAGAAACGATTTCCATCGAGTGAAGATATTCAGGATAAAATGAGATTAGGGCCCAGATTGCGTTCAGTAGAAAAAAAACAACTTTACAACTGTTGTAAGATTCTTTAATATGATTGATTTATACATTTAGATCTAGTGAGAGGAACTAAGAGCAAGGTCAATCATATTAAAGAATTTTACAACAGTTGCAAAGTTGCTTTTTCTGCTGTACGTAGTCAATGAAAAGCACAGGCAATAGGAACAAAAAAATAACATACAGGTAATAGATTTCAACCTATCAGAAACTGTGTAGTATCAATGCACAGTTTCTGATAGATTGAAATCTATTGCCTGTGTTATTCCTTGTTTCTGTTGCCTGCGTTTTTCATTGTGTCTGAGTTCTTAACATTTTCATTATCCTGAGGCGAGTGTCTGTTTTCTGTCAAGCAAAATTTTGCGTATTGAGGATCGCTCGGTTCGTTGACCCCTGAGGTCGAGAAAGAGTCGCGGGAGCATGGTGGAGATCGGCAGCGCGGCGACGTCGGTGAGACATCGCACTCGGACCAAGGAAATTCGGGGTCTGGTAGAGAGCCACGTTAGTAGAAGCTTAGCCTACACACAGAGGGTATCCACTAATCCATTTATGTACGCGAGATATACAAATAGACATGCACACGCTCCAGACGCAAATCGTGCACATATACATGCACACACAGACCCAAACACATACACACACACACACACATTCACGGACTTATATCTATTATATATTTGATATATCGCATTGTAACAGGTATGTCCTGTAAAATGCGGCTACAATTCGGATAATCTATATTTTATTAATAAGGAATAAGTCTATATATAGGGTTACTAACGTGTTACGGATTATCACATAAAAATTAGAGAGAAAATTAATCTATATAAATATATATATATAAATATATATTATATAATGCGCGGCGGAAACTCAAGTACATAAAAACGGCAAAAACGGAGGAGGACACGTGAACACGCACATACACACGTACATACAATACGCAACGTTAACGTGATTGGAGGTGTGAGGTATAAAAAAAAAATATATGTATATGATGAGTTTTAAATGACTATATCTGTGCTATCTTAGGTATATATCGTTGAAAAAATTATCAGGATATGGTCTGCTTGCCTAACTGGGGCCTTAGGCGTCGTTCAAATCAAGAAAGGAACGGATCTAAAATATGACATGCGTCGATGCAACAAGTCGACGGCATCCCCATTTTCTCGCGTCAAATTCTTTTCCCGTGTTTCAGAGTTAGGGTATATCGCGACTCGCGAGTGACCTCTTCTTCTAGTATTGGGAGAACGATTTAGATGTTAACATGGTAACAGGCGGCCAGCAGTAAGAAAATACTTTGACGACACCCATATAGTACCTCTAAGGGACATCTTAAAGACATCCAGAGGATGTTCTCTACGTTCTAAGGATGTTCTCAGGATGTCCCTCGAAAGTGTGCTGTGTGGGCATACATGCGCGAACATACATAACACAATACATAGCACAAACATACATATTACACTTTCACTTACATGGAGAAACTCAGCTCGAAAAATTATAATAAGTATACATTAGTTTATCGCGAGAGGGGAGAAGCATTTAAAAGACACACAGGGTCTCCAAAGTGCGGACAGTAACAAAAATCTTCGGGATAGAGCGTCGACAGTAATCCTTACAGAAATCCAATACTGGTTAATTTAATATTGAAAGGTAGTGATTAATTATTTATTTTGAGTATTAAAAGCACTGAACACAATATTTTTAATATTCAAAATAAATAGTTAATTACTACCTTCCAGTTTTAAATTTTTATAAGAGAATACAGATCGTAATCAACGGGTATTTCACATAAAGGATCAGGAGGGTCGAGGTAACGATCTGTCCAAATACCGACATGCTGTAACATTAAAATAACCACAATTGGATGACACAATCTGAATGTCAAAGGAAGGAATTTGTGAAGATCATACTTTACTTTTGTACCAAAACGTCAACAGTTAATATCTCCTCTGTTTGGATAAGGCTGTTATCCTTAGATTCGACTCTCTTTTGGATTGACATGTTGTTATCTCGATCCTTCGGGCGCGGATGGGCGAAAGCAATCCGAATGCGAGGTTTCTTTTTCTGCGTACATAACATCTCGACGTCGCGCAAGTCGCTGCGACACGCGGATTATTCGTGGGTATGCCTGTTGACTGAATGATTTCATGATTTTCTTGCCTGTTTTCACGAGAGTCATGCCAGTTTAGATCTCGAGGACGAGACGGTGGGACTGCGGACGAACGAGCTATCAATCAACTTTTGTCAATCATCATTTTACCTTCGTTTGCGTTGAAGGGAACGGTTCGACCACGTCCTTATGTCTCGAATTCTCGATGGGTTTCTTCTTTTAAGGGAGGAAATGGCGAAGAGAGGCCTCGATGAGATGGAGCCGCTATCAAATATTTCGAGTCGTATCGAGACTGTATCGCTATCGCTATCGCCATGCCGATATAACCAGGTATACCGTAAGAGAAAAGGAACGAACATAGAGATAAACGTACAATTCAATGGAGCCTAATTTTCGAGGTGATAAAGAGAGAGAAGTAGTGAGACGGAGAGATCGTTCAGAGCCTCTCGTGACGAGATGACACCTTTGTAGTCGGAAATGTATAGGGTATCCGTTTGTTTTTTTCTCGATTAGTGCACGTACAAAGGACGGCTGAATTTTAAAAATACTGAAAAAAACACTGTACGTTGTAAGCCAGTGAGAATTGTAGAAATTAACTAAGCAGTAGTCGTTAAGACGATGAGAAGCGTTGCTTAAGGGAAAAAAAGAGGAGGTGGAAGAGAGGCGCGATCCTGTAACGAGAAACTGTTAGCGTAAAAAGAAAAAAAAAAGAAACGTTAGTAGCATCTTAGAGTCGTGTAGTAGCTCCTTTCTAATTAAGCCTCCAGATTTAAGTAATGTGTATAGTTAAATGACAATCACTCGACTCTCTGTATCGACAATTGACGAAAGGAATCTCGGAAAAGCCGTGATAAGCTGCCTACGCACCGAACCCCTTTCTTCGTGTCCCA